CGAATAACTTTCGAAGTATCCCAGCTAGGAAAAAAATAATAGCACCATCGTGATCTTCTCGTCGATCCGCATCGAAACATGTGTATGTTGACCTCGAAAGGTCAAGGTCAAAAGTTGACCTTTGGTCACGTGACCTTAAGGTCATCATATATATCATTCGATGGGCCTTGACGAGCTGAACACAATGAGCCTATCCGCGCGGCTATATCTCAAACCTGTAAGGAGTTATTAGCAAAAAACATTTGGTGACCTTTAATGACGTCACATGAGCCAAGAGCAACGTCACAGTTGACCAAGAATAAAAAAGGTCTCAAGGTAGTCAAAGTTAGTCGCATATGGAGTCACTCATGGTATATTAGGCAATTCCGATGCGTTTTAGTGTAAAAATAATGGAGCTGATTTTTCCCCAATTAACTTATAATGGGGTGGTCAAGAAATTGACCTGACCTTAGGTCATCGGTATTGAAATTCAAAACGAACTGGCGCTAGGCGAAAGCAAACGGATTGGTGCCTTTTCTACGTCTCTTTCTTTATTAGATCAAAAGGTACAGCCAAAAACGGAAAATTATTGTGTGTTCAACGCGTGACCTCGGATGACCTTTCAGCGGGTCACTGATACAAAGCTGCACCAGTGCCATCAATAATAGCCTAACTCAACATGATTCAAAAGTATTTGAACCGGTCAGATGCGTTTCGGTGGTAGCCGACATTTCTGCCATTGACCTATAAAGGACAGGTCAAAAAATGACCTGATCTCAGGTCAATGCAGGCCGAAAGCCACTTTTTTATTGTCGCATATGAATGACAATTGATAAGGCTTTAATCGTATCAGACAAAATTGCGAATTTCAGTTGGGAAAATATCAAGGTCACTCTTCGAAAAAAAGATCAAGATGTCACGTGATCAAAATTTTCAAAAATCGAAAATCCGAGATAGCCAAAACGTTTGCTGGTTGATCGCGAGTTGAACCATATAAAGTTTTTACCATAGAAAACCAATAGTTTGTGAGTTATAAGCCGCCAAACATAGGGTTGTAGCGTGACCTCCAGGAATTGCCTGAGGCTATATCTCGGAAACCGTTGTTCGAAGAAAAAATCCTTGGCACAGCTGGCTTCCCCGCCCATAACAACCCAGTAGACCAATTTTAAGCAAAAAATAAAATATGAGGGTGTACGGCTTTGGTCGATCTATCGTGGAATGCCCCAGTAGATGGTTTGTGTGATGCATTGCATTAAATACGCGTCAGTGTCAGACTACCGAGCTACGTATGTACCTCGTTGAACCAGTGGCTGCTTACTATGATGAGCTGATACACATGGTGAGCTGGAACGAGCTATCAGCTTTCCTCAATTTCAGTAATGTTTCTCTCCTTAGCCATCTTATCTGGTCTTCTATAGCTGTTTCTCCCTAAGACCAGGGGCGTAGGCAGGGGGGGGCCACTGGGCCATGGCCCCCCCCCTTGGGCGCCGAAGGCGCCCTTTGCGATTGGAGGGCGCCGAAGGCGCCCTCCAATCGCGAATGCAATTGTGATAGAATCGAATCGAAAAACAATCGCGACTGGATACGTAAGCCTATAGGATCGCTGCCTTCCTGCCCACTGGTGACCTCATCTGATCGGTGTACTCCTACCTATTGGTGCTCTCCTGTAGATAGGCGCCCTCTCACCCGAAGGCGCCCTCCTGTAGGTCACCACCCTGCTACACATTGCTACCCTTCTGCTGGTCGGCGCCCTCATAATTATTGGCGCCCTCCTATCTATTGCGCCCTCATGTGAAATTTTGATGGCCGCCCTCCTCCCTTTGGGCACCCTCTTGTTGAGTGCCGTCCTTCTAGCCATTGGCGCCCTCCTACCTATTGGTTTCCTAGTCCCTCCTGTTGAATGCTAATCGGGGCCCTTCTACCTATTCGCGCCCTCATGTTGATCGCCGCCCTCCTAACCACTGGCACCTTCCTGTTAAATCGGCGCCCTCCTCACAGACGCCCTCCTGTTCAATGTCATCCTCTTGGGCAAAGGCGCCCTCCTCACCATTGCCACCCTCCTATTAATCGTCACCCTTCCACTCATTGGCGACTTCCTGTTGATGACCGCCCTCCTACCCATTAGCGACCTCTTGTTGATCGCCACCTTCCTATCTATTGGTGCTCTCCTGTTCCTTGCCGCCCTCTCACCCATGGTGGCACCCTCCCTCCTGTTGATTGTTGATCGGAGCCTTCTTATCTATTGGCGCCCCCCTTTTGATCGCCGCCCTTCTACCCATTGGCGTCCAAGTTTCGGTGATTGAAGGTGCTCAACACTGTATGCATCTGTGAGAAGGTCATGAGGGCTGGTCGAGGTAATTTGGATGAGAAGCCCGAGAAGGCTAATCGATCTCATGAGGAACAGCCCTGTTATGGTTTCTCTTTCTGTTGTTGCCGCCTTCTCGTTGTGCGCTTGTGTTTACGCACCTCGCGCTCCGGTATCAATCCGATATGGTGATCTGGTGTGTATGCCACCGCCAATAAACTTTTCTACATCGTCACCCATGGGCGAAGCTTTCTATACAGCTTGTGTGGCACCGGCCCCACCAAACCTTAGGTATTTTTTACACCTTCAAATTTGGTAAAAGAGCGGGAAGAGCTTTGAACAGTGAGCACGCAAAAGATGTGCCTAAAAAGCGGAGGAAAAGGTTGTTTTCAAAAATTTCGCGCGCCTTCGGCGCAGCATTTCACAAACTCTTCTTTACTAGGAACTTAGTACCTATGCCAATAACTTGCAACCTTTTTGTCACGTGTGAGATGAAGAGGTTTCTTCAGACATGCGGTTAAAAAAGATCCGAAAAAGGTGCCACTACGTTACGAGCTTCCGTTTTTTTCCTGGGGGAGAGAGGGAAGTGGGTGAGCGGGAGTGGCACACCTTTTGGTGCATTGCTCTTACACGTGCTCTAAAAATGCAAACCATAGTCGCTAAAAGCAAGGTCATCAGGTCATGTCAAGTGATCTAACTTAAAAAAAGTTTTAAGCATTGTCACTTAAGCTGAGCGGGTGACTTGACCTTTTTTGGCCTGGAGTAAAAACGAAATACACACGATGCCAAATCAATGCAGCATAACCTATATACCAAGTCACGCAAAAAAAAAACTGGTGGCGTGGTAAAAAAACGCCTCCACCCCCCCCCCCCCTGCTGAGCGGATTTTTATCTCGCGACCGTATGGCGCCCTCCTGGGGTGAGGTGGCGCCCTCCAAACCCTTGGCCCCCCCTTCGCGATTTTCTAAATACGCCGCTGCCTAAGACAGTCTATATGTGATATACCTTGGATCGTCCAATCTTGTCAATGTCGGTTTTTACCTGGACAAGTTGACCTCCTCTGTATCAATTCACCTCTTCACCGTCTATTTGCATCGGTGTCTCCCCCGAACGGTCCGACCCGGGTCAGCACCATGTTCCGGGTCGCGCTGGGACCCGGATGTCGGTCTGGACCTCCGGGCAGCCCGGTGTTCAGTCTGGAGTCTGTCCTCACTCGACCGCCCCCGTCTCTGTCAGTTTATTATGGCTGTCTGCTGGCGGCGGTCGAGTGTGACGTGGTGCAGCTCCCGAGACTCCGGAGCTGTTAGTCTGGCCCGGGCCGTCCACCGACGGGTCGGAGGGGCTGGGTCGTCGGTCGGGTCACAGGGACAGACTGTTACACCGCCCCGCGTGGACAAGATGGCTACCCATTCCCGGGAACGGTCAGCCGTCACCGTCTTTATTAGATCCAGCTGCGGCTGGATCAGAGAAATGGCCTGGCAGCGCGTGATAAGCGAAATGGACCGACGATTTACTTATCTTATGTCATGTCACGAAATATAGGTAAAACAGATTGGGTCACTCCCTTATAAGTAACTTATAAGTAAAGTAATCTTGCGACACTCCCGCTGACCAGTGAACACTGCTCCCGGGTACCGCTGCCGCTGCTGCTTCTGTTGCCACGGCTACCACTGGCTTCACCTTTCGACATTCGGCGACCTCCACCAATAATCGGAGCGGTCATCGACACCCCACCTGTGGGCCGCTCATGAATGTGAACACATGCAAGCATTACAGACATTACTACGTACTACAAGTGCCGGTGGGGACCGGTGTGTCGTTCTACCCTGTGAGCTGGGGCACTGGGGCAGCCGGCTGGGACCGCGGGCGGCGCATCGCGACAGCCTGTGAGCTGGGGACCGAGCTGAGCTGAGCCGAGCCCTGTGACACGGGGACCCAGCCGAGCCGGGGCGCTGCAGGCAGGCAGGCGGCGCACCGCGGCTGCCCTGACGACAGTCATCGGCTGGCTGCGGAGCCTAGCGCCACGGCTGGTGCTGCTGTGAGAGGTACCGATCGGTCCATTGATGGAGACTAGTGATTGAAGCACTGTCAGGCCAATGGAGGACCGCTAACGAGAGACTTCTAAGCGAGGACTGCTGGGCGGAGGATTGGTGACAGTAGTCAACTGCGTCAAAGGCAGGCCTTTGACGAAGGGCTGCTGACCGGACCCCTAATGGAGGATTTCTGACAGGAATTGGAGGACCAATCGTGGAGGATTAGTGACGAAGGACCTCCATTGACCGACCCACTTCACTGTGGGAGGAAGCGGAGCTCTGCAGACGGCACAGCGGAGGCAACCGAAGACGTCAGAGGTGTGCTGAGCAGACCGCCGGGCGCCGCTGAGACTGCTGGGCGCCGCTCAGACTGCCGGGCGCGCCTTACAGACCGCTGGGCGCCGCGCTCTCAGATACTTGCTCACAGGTCACGAGAAGTGTGCCATGCGCCTTCCGAGCACTGGTGAAAGTGTTCGGTACTCACGTGTTAAGTGAGTCGTGAACAGAGCATATCACGATGCCTTGCCTCAAGCTAAAGCGCTGCCCAGACGGTGCCCAGTAAGTCTCTGGTCTGTCAGAGATTCACGGATCGAAGTGTCGGTACCGGTGTCAGTGTCAGTATCAGTGTTAACGTCACTCCCTGCAGAGGCCGGCGCCGATCCGGTCGAACCAGCACCGATCGCGACATCGTGATGAGGTAATTGGGACGGGGTCACGGGGTCAGCGTCATGTCATCCGGATACCGTTCACACGCTCGATGCCGCTGCCAGAAACCGCTGCTCAGAAAGTCATGTGAACAAACATGCCAGCGCTTCAAAGTAAACTGTTAGTAAATGGTTGAGTGAAGTCACATGTGCATTGTGCATGCCACATGATGGTAAAATTAATATTTAAACGCCCGTGGTACTGTGACCGGCGCTAAACCTCACGGAATTCATATGTGATATGACCGTCGATTGATTACGTCTGTCCTCTGACGGAATAGCAGCAGGACGCTCTGTCCACTCTCCAATCGACCCCGCCCTGCCTCGACCACCCCTCGTCCACCCATATACCGCCCTTTCCGCTTCGCCCCTACCCAGCCATGGCACGCGTCTGCACCAGCTGTGGGGCGGGGCTGAACGGCAGCGTTCGATAGTGGGGTATCCCGTGAACGAACACCTGTCAGCGTCAGCGGCCTATCAGAGGGGCTAGCCCGTGCAGCGCGAGGGTCGGTCGATGGGGAGGCATATGCTGCCCACCCGATAGCAGTAGGTATGAGGCAGGCACGGTTGGCTCGTATTGCGACCGGGCGATACAGCTGATCTGTGTGCCATGCACCATTATGAGATAGCCCTCCGAGGGCTTTGCATGTATGCAGGGTGCTATCAGTTTCCAATAGGCATTCTCAACCTGGTCCGGCCCATCCATTTCTGAGTGGCGGCGTATAGCCACGGCCCTGGCGCCCTGTAGGCTCCCAGCCCAACGCCATCATCGCTGTGGGCCCATTCTTGCCGTCTAGGCGTGATCCAGCCGTCCCTATAGATCCATTCCTGCCAGCCCTGTAGATCCATTCCTGGCAGCCCTGTAGGTCCATTCCTGCTGGCTCTGTAAGTCCGATGTCACCCAATCGTCCCTGTAGGTCCGTCCGGGCGCATTCGTCCCAGTAGGTCCGTCCCGATCCATCTGTCCCTGCAGGTCAGATCAATTCGTCCCTGTAGATCCGATCCACCCCTGTCCCTGTGGATCCAACCCATCCTCGGATGTAGCTTTGACCCAGCCCGGCTCGAAGTCCGGCCCCATCCGACTCGGTCCGCGCTGTACGGAAGTCCGTCCTATCCGCGGCTCTGGGTCCGGCCCGATCCGGCTCTGCTCGGCCCGCGCTGTATCCGATGCCGGTGACGATCAATACAGCTCCCAGCTCGCCGGCTGAGATCAGCTGAGAGAGCAGCCGCCGCTGCGGGGCGGTGGTGGGCTGGGGCGGTGGACCACGGACTGTGGGGGGAGGTGGAGATAGACTGTGGGACGGTGGGCTGGGAGGGTGGGATGCGGACTGTGGGGCGGTGGGCTGGGAGGTTGGGACTGCGGACTGTGGGGGGGGGGATAGACTGTGGGGCGTTGGGCTGGGTCTGAGAGGGTGGGATGCGGACTGTGGGGCAGTGGGATGGGAGGTTATGGACTGTGGGACGGGGGCTGAGGGGGTGGAGTGCAGATCTGGGGGTGGGGGTGGGATGAGAGGATGGGATGCGCGCTGGGAGGGTGGGATGCGGACTGGTGCGGTGGACTGGGAGGGCGGCGTACGGACTCTGCCATGGACGGGGAGGCTGCGGACTTCAGACTGCTGAGTGCGAACTGCGGAGCACAGGCAGTCCTCTCTCGAGCTCGACCTGAGCTGGTAGGCGCGGGTTCAACTGAACCCCTCCCCCCATTTATAATCCGGGCTGGGAGCCGCACATAAATTTAGCGAAGGGGCTTCACGGGTGCGGCGACTACGATGTCATTTGCGACACGTGAATTCGGCATCGAAATGATGTCTGGACCGAACTATATTTTACGTAAGATATTTATTGTCTTCAAGTAGAACTTTGTCGAGATTTTGAAGAAGTGGAACCTTTTAGCGTTGAGGCCAACGACATTTTACTTAGTCACAATATTGACACTTTTAGACCGGGACGTCAGTCTGTGTCACTTCTGCGGCCGGGGAAGGACGGGGGGGGGGGGGCAGACAGCGTCACCATCCTGTATGTGTCACCAGCCAGCCAGTCCTGTCACTGACGGATGGACGTCTAGACGGCCGACATTTCGTTGGAGGCCGCTGGGTGGCCTTGGAGGACAGAGTGCGCCACTCTGAGCGGGGGGGGGGGGGGTGCGCCCCCCTCCGAGTCGTCAGGTCGGCGCGTTGTGACACTCGCTCAGGAGGTAATGTAAATAAACATGGCACAACAGCCGGGTTGTTGAGATCTTATTCAGTCGGCGGCTCGATGTGCAGGGGGCCGCTCTGTACGAGCACTGACAGCCCAGCTGCGGCTGTGGGCCGCAGGCCGAGTTCAGCTCAGCCGAGTGATCGGCTGCTCGGAGGGCCGTCTGTCGGCTGATTGACAGCAGCCGGGCGCTGCCGTGACTGATGACGTCAGTGGCACCGCCGCGGGGTGCGGAGCGCGTCTCGGGGCAGGTGCCAAGAACAAGTCGCGCTACCCCGGGGCGGCGGCGCCGGGTCGGAACGGGAGAGCAGGAAGGGAAGGAAGGGAGGAATGCGCAGAACGCCGCTCGGCTCTGCTCTGAGCTCTCCAACACGGCGTAACCCGTAGCCTCACCGTGCCAGTAATACAACGGTGTGTACCTACGTCTGTTGACCCATTCACCGGAATTAGTCGCCGCCCCGATTCAAATTGCTTTATCCTCGAAAGCAAGATAAACGTTAGATTAAAAAACCAAAGACTGATAGCGCTCAGCGCACTGCAGAGGCTAAATTACCTAATTACTGACGAGGTTTTGTAGTTTGCACGGCACACGAGGTTATTTTCGAGCTGTGTTTGTCTCGAGTTCCGGAAGAATATCAAATACTGAAAACAGCGGAAAGGGCGTGCCTCGGTGCGGGAAGTTGCGAAGCGCCATCTTTCCTCTCTCTCTCTCTCTCCCTCCCCTTCCCTCTCTCCTTGTCTCCCCTCTCATTCAGAGTGACAGAGTGACGTAACTCTACACAAACGTAACTATACACCGTGCTGCTATACACGACGAGTGTTGTCCCGTCGGTCCGCCTTTTGTCCAGTTGACAATGCTGTTCATTTCTGTTCCCTGCCGGCGCGGTACGATGGGTGTGTTACTACATCGTACGCTGGACACTATCCCGCCCACAGTCCACGCTCGTGCCAGACTCAGACAACACCTTCCCGTTCCCGCTCCCGCTCATACAACACCTTCCCGCATAGATGAGACCCACGCAGGTCGAGACTCGGGTCAGCGGCCGTGCCGACTGGCGGCGGGGGGCACCCGCAAGGACTGCTTGCCGCCCTGGCAGCGGGGCCACCCGGCGCGCAGGCGCCCCGCCCAGGTCAATGCGTCGGCGGGCGGCCGCACGCGCCGTGCCGCCGTGCTGGGGCGGGTGTTTTCCGCTCGTCTCCGTCCGTTCGCGGCCGGCGCGGCGGTTCGGCACGGCCGGTCGCCAGTCGGACGGCCTCGTCGGCGCTGGTCGTGTCGTGGCGAGCGGTGTGGTGCTGATAGACCGGTTGCGGACGGAAGGGGGCGTGCACGGTGCTCCGTCGGTGGAGAGTGTGAGCAGGTTAGTGGAGTGAGCTGTGGAGGGTCACGGAGTGTTCTCTCTGTAGCTGCGTCTTCCACATCCCGGAAATCATTTCCTGCCCCGTATCCTCGCCCGTTATAGTCCTCATATCCCGTAACCTTTATTGATTCCACCCCTCCCCTCACCCCATAGCCGTCCCTTCAGTGCCTAGAAGTCTCTTCAGTCCCCACCTCATACTCAGACACACCACTGATATCGACCACCCACGCCGCTCTGACCGTTTACCGGTCCCGACCACCGTAACCTGCCACTTCACTGGTTCCGACCTCACTCCCTATTATTTCACACTGCACTGATTCGACCTTCACACCTCGGCGACACCGACCGAGTCGTCAGTCCGCCGCTAGCCGGTCGTCTGTTCAACTACAGACTGGCCGCCGGAACATTACGCTAATCTCACGGCGCCCCCCTCCCCTCCTTCCTCCTCCCCCAACAACAGCCTCTGGCACACGGCAGCACTTTCCGGGTCGCCGGGGTAGAGCGGAAGACGGCGCTCTCGCCGGTCTGTCCGCCCCAGGAACGTCTTACCAACGTATTTCCTCCCACCGGCCAGAGAACCCACCAACGTACCACGCTTCCACGGGCAGTGCGTGGCGCGTGGCGGCCGCGTCACGCAGCTTCTCTCCGTGGGTCACGGAGTCCTCACATCACGACGGTCGGGTCACGACGACAGTCTGTGTGCCACGTCTGAGCGTCTCCGGCTGCATTGATGGCAATTTGTGCTCCACTTGATTTAATGCTGGCGGTACTGGACAGTGCCATTCCGTTAGCTCATCTCCAAGTGATGGGAAGTGATAGAAGTGTGGCATATGGCACGTCCACGAGAAGCTAAATATACCTACACCGAAGGCCGCGACAGGATGCCATACAACAGAGCACCCATCCGTAGACCGCGACGGGCTGGCGAAGAGCGCAGATCAATAGGTATAATACAGTGTCCGGTGACACATTACTAGGGCCTCGTGCTGCCACAAAAGGGCTGAAGCCTCACAAGCACTAGATCGGTTTTCGCGGAACGTCACTGACACCCAGACGAACGCCTTCCAGGAATGTTCCCGATATCGAACCCCGATGACTAATTATGTAAACTCATTTAACTTGTTAGTTCAGTGTGTATCCAAGCTGGTCTCAACACTGTCACAACACCCCGACACTTCCGGGCATCACAGGCCGCCCCGAGGGGATCAAAGTCAGTCTGTTACCGAGTATTGCTCACTCCCCGCCCGCTCAGCGCCCCGGCTATCGTCAGCTGACCGGTCAGTCACCAGGTCAGCTGGTGGCTGGACTGGGCTCGATCAGCCGTAACCCTTACCCATTACCCATCACCGGTCGCCCTTTATACTGACACAAACCCTTACAGTTATCTGGCAAGCCACGCAGTCTTGCATGAGTGCCGATGATCGGGTCTGGGTCCCGGTGCCATGCCCATCGTCTTTGATGTCTCCGTCGGTCGCTGGGCGGCCGTCCGTTTTCAGTGAAGCCGTCCCCTGCAGTCCATGGCGGTCGCGGTGGTGCAATCGATAACGCCGCCGGTCGGCCGGCGCTGCCGGAAGCCAACGTCCCTGTGGACGGGTTGGTGCAGCCGGGGGATGTATGGTGATTGGTGGGGCTGTCTTGCCGTGCAGCCGACCCCGCCCGACATCGAGCCTGTCCGTCCCATGGGAAATCCTTACTCCTGACTCAGCGGCCCGCTGGAGACGCTCGTGGTACGTACGAGTACACGCTAGTACACACTATAATAGTCTAGATCGGCAATAGCAGACCAGTCGCCTTTTTCTTATAAGTCTTCGGTGACCAAGGCCACGAATGAAATGAAACGACCGCTGATACTTAAACTATACCTACTGTTCAGCATTAACATTATCCTTTCCAGCATCCTGTAGCGCCTTGGTGTCGACCCTTGCCCAGGTTACGCATGCAAACTCGGAGCGCCGGATGGTGGATGTTGGGGAAAGTGGAGCGCCGGAACGCGATAGCCGACAACTTGCACCGTTTCCGGCTGATACGAGGCTCTTATGCTACTGTTTACAGGGTGATTCCCGGTTTAAACCAACTACTGCGATCAGTTGGCTGAGCCTGCAGGACGGGAAGTGGCGGAACTGAAGCCTGAATGCTGAATGAACGTTACGCGTAAGCCAGAACGATGAAGTGTCACGTCAGTGTGTTAGGGTGCCTGGCATGAAGGAATTACGATGGTATAGTCGTGCAGGATAATGACGCTATAGCCTTACAGCCAGCTGTGAGCCGGGTAAGCCGCACTGTACGGCAGCCCGTGTGAATTCGCCACTCTCGTGAGGTGCGGATGGCGTAACATATAATAATCTTCTCTTTCACAGTAGTTCGAGCGCTCTAACAATACCAGACAGTCAACGGTGCAAGCTAGACGCTGAACTAGTCCATCAGCATTGAAAAGTCGTGTCATGCTGCTTGAAAGTCGTGTCGAGCGTGCCGCGCGAAAGACGGTTTATTGAACTTCAGATGAGCGTCATTGCAAAGAAAGTCATGTAATGATTTTCTACCAAAGGTGAATAAGCTATCTCATTGGTAGGAATGCCACAGCGACCAGTGATTGGCGCCTTCAGCCACGCTCTAACGAGCTAGCCTATTTCTCAGCCACTGCATGACATCTACGGCATCTGTTGTGTCTGAGCCGGTGCAGTGTGCAATGGCCAACGGTACCGATATATCTCGGTCAGAAGCCGTGCGGTTCGCTCACCCGATTTTTCTCTTTTATTAGCTGCAACTGCAAGGTAACGGGACGAGCAGAAGTACGTACAACAGATGACACCACAGATGATATCATGTGTTGTTTGTTGAAGATGAGCTGTGTGAATTGGAAGTCAATAAAAATGCTAGGGTTGTATCGTGATATAAAATATAAATGATAGTGAGTGTAAACTGTCAAGTCTAGACTGTAGGCTAGATTGTGTAGACATTGACCATTCATTCAATGTCCGCATTATTGCCTTGTATGGGTACGTTCTACCTATGACTTTACTTACACTGAGGCTATCCGGTAGCAAGTCAATCCCCGCCTACGGTGCTATATTTAGCTCGCACCTCCGTCCCGTATGCTCCCGTGTTGAGCCGACCCGATGTGTTTGTGTTTCAGAGGTGACTGGGACCGGCGCCTACCATCACCGACGGTCGTCCTGTCTTCCGCCCAGCCCGACACCGGTGTTCGTCCGTGCCCAGACAGCCATGGCGTCCCCGGCCGAACGGCATGAGCCAGCCTAAGATCGAGCTAGTCCGCCTATCGTCGTCTGAGTTCCGCGCGTTTCCGCCGATTAATTTCGTGCAGCTGTGTGTCCGGTACAGTCACCGCCGTATGGAGAGCTACGCCGGTCTGGCAGGTCGCGGTCCGCCGCAGACTGCCGCGCCCGCAGAGCCGCGCTGCCCAAAGTGCGTGAAGCGGCGCCGCCCGTGTGCCCATCTCGCCGACCCGGCGCGACCGTCCGGCTGGGGCCGGTTCCGACCCCGCCCCGCCGTCAAGTCGCTGGAGAATGTGACCCGGGACGACGCGCGGCCGGTCACGACCACCAAATCCTGTGAGAACATGCTGCAGGTGCGTCGGCAGCCCCTGGCCGGCGAGGGGCGCCGCTCGTCGCCGCTGGTCTGGCGCGAGACGACCCGCTCTGAGGAACATCTAGCCGGTGGAGCGCCGCCGCCAGCGCCGCCCGACCTGCGAGCCGCCAAGAGTCAGGAGTACTTCCAGAAATACACGATAGATGGCAGTGGGGATCTGGTGCCGCTCGGACTCGGTAGAGGCTCGCAGAGCGTGCCCGGCAGCCCCCGCGGTCTATGGGGAAAGTCTAGCACAATGCCAAACATGCACCGGACGGACGAGCCGCCCCCGGAGAAGCCCCGCAGGACGATCTCTAGTTTCCTGAAGCGGCTACAGCCGCGCCTGCTGCGCGCCAGTCTGAGCTCACGGGGGGTGGCGCGTCGACCCTGGATCGTGGTAGAGTTTCAGGACGTGGACGGTGACAGAACCAGCGTCGGTTCGCAGGAGCGAGAGACGTTCGGCTCGGCGCAGAAGGTGTCGCTAGTGAAAAGTCGCCAGAGCTCTCGCGAGGAGCTGGGCGCGGGCACCGACTCGATGCTCGATCTGATGCGTCGGGGACAGGTGACGGCGGGCAGCGGGGGCGACCGATCGTCGCCGTCGACTCACACCGTACAGGGACGGACACCGGCCGGTACTGGCGCACAGGTGAGTGCTGCTGCTTCACTAAGGGGTATCGGGAACTGGAGGGACGTCCCCTGACGGCCCCTGTCCCCGTGGCCTAGCGGTTTGCCTGTAGATATCGTGATATGTTCGCCTTCAATGAGCCGGAGAGGTTGATTGGCTCGGTGTTAAAACCGCACAAATCCTTATTTAGGACGTGAACGCGAAAGGGGCTGCCGACCAATAGACTGATAAGGACGACCTATAGGTCGTCGTCGTTATTGCTCCTCTGTTGATGAGCTACCCCATCTATGGCAAAAATAAGTGAGGGAAATTTACTTTTTACTTATTATGAAGTGACCTGCTTCTCACCCTGACCTATAAAATATTTAAGCGCTAAAGTGTTTTAGATGCGTACTTATGAACATGTAACGTTCGTAACACACTGATGGCTCCTTTCGCGTTGCCAGGATTTCTTCTCCATTTAACCCGGCAGTTGCTGGGGTATTTCGCCACCCACCGTTTGCTGGGGGGGGGGGGCGTTAAACGCCCCCAGACGATAACTCGAGAACCAATTGGCGCAGCGAAACGCACGAGGCGGCAAACGAAAGAACGCGACGAGACGCTTCAGATGAGTACTTTAAAGTTGAATTTTGAGGTAACAGGTCAGGTCAAGGTCAGGTCAAACACCTGAAATCGGGCTTTCAGTAGCATGGACTTCAGGACTTCGTAATGGGCGCCTCTCGTCATAAACTCTGTCAAAACGGTGCGCAATCCATCATATAAGGCCTACAAGAGTGTCAGCTCCATATAGGGGTCAGTCAAGCATAGGTCAGGGTCAAGGTCAGGTCAACCGGGCAGGCACATATCCCCGAAAATCAAAACTGATATTCGCAGCCTGTGACACATGTTTTATGGGTAATTTGGGGCGTAGAACACGATGGTGACATTCATTTTACCATATGTGTACGTGTTTGGCTAAAAAAGTTCAATTTAAGAAATGCATGTATCATGGTCGTGAAGTAGTCACGAGAAATTGCCAAGATTCAGTTCAAGATTTTGGAAAATGCGGAACGATAATCAACAATCGAAGATAGCCATTTGATTGTTCATGGTATTGGTAGTCTAATGGCGTTTACGGCATGTCTGTATGTCTATTCTGTGATTTTATATGATTTTTTGAACATATGCCGTTTTTGGTCGAAAACTCAGAAATCATGACGTCACTAAAACCTCGATATCTCAAAAAATTTCTGACCGATTTTTTTTAAACTTTGTCACAATAAACTTCAATCAATTCCCTACAGGTACTAAAAATTTGGCGCGCCTGCGGCGCGCCGTTTTTATGCTATGGCCCGGCGAAAAAAGTGGGGGCGTTTAACGCCCCCCCCCCCAGCAACTCGCGGGTTAAACTTCCTCTTGCACGTGGAACAACCACATCGACCATGCTCGCTGGGCACCGTTGTCGTGCGTTTAATCGATAGGTGACCGGCCTGGTCCCTCCCCGTGGCGACTTCATTGAAGGCAATATATACCGTGAAGGCAATTGTCCGCCCGGGTCTCACCGTCCCACGCTGCGGCGGTGCTGCCGCGGCGGCAGCGGTCCGAACTAAAAGCTCGGTGGGTCGGGGAGGGCCGCCGCCTCCGCCGCTGCCGCTGTGACTGGCCGGGTCTGGTGGTGAACGGTGGTATGTCGTCGGGGCGGTCAAAGGCTCGCCGCTGAGTGCCGTGTGCTGGTCGGTGCCTCGTGCCTGCTCGTACCGTCAGGCGACGGGTGCAGGTGTGTAGAGTGCAGCGGCAGATCGATACCAGGTGGGTTACACGGTGGGGCCGAGGGCCGTGCTCCTGCGTGCCCAGCCAGGTGGAGGGAGAGCCCCGCGGCGCGGCGCCGACCTAATTCCTCGGACAGAGTAACCCTATCATTACGGATCCAGGCTGGCATTTTGGAGACCGAGACGGTGGAATGCAGGAATGTGGCTACTGGCAAGGTTACCGTGGCAGCGTCGTGTGGTTGGATGCCGAACTGTACAAAATTCGTCCTTCGTTTCGCATTCACAAAAATGACAAAAACTTACCCAACTTTCATTTTTGGCTGGCTTTATTTTGCTAGGCTATGTGCGTATCTTTTGAACGGACCCTTCTTTTAAGAATAAGCAATTGAGCACACTGCAGTGAGCAAAAGATGACTGTGCCTTCTTACGTTTAGTATTCGACAGGCATCCACGCTTTTTCCTCACTCATTGCTGCGAGCCTAGACCTTTAGAGGGTCACGGGCCTGCGACACTGTCAGCCGCCCACCGACAGCACCTCGTAGACGGTGTCAGTGGGCCGACCTGGCCCGCCCGCGGGGCCGCAGACCACACGCTGTCACCACTCACGCCGCCCACCTACGCCCTCGCATGGCTGGAGGGACGCCCTTCTCGTCCGGCGGATCTCCCCGCTTTTTGCCGGACCCGTGCTGATTTGTTTCTGTCCCTCCCTCGTATCCTCGCCCTGTCGTGGTCGTTTTTGTGCTGAGCTTGTTTCGCCAGTGCTCCGTGTTCGCGTTGGCTCTTCACCACTGCTGTGATGGTGGGAACGTCGCGTCGCCAGCTGCGTTTGGTACCGTTCGTGGCTCCCGGCTCCCGTCAGCGCCGGCCGCTGCTGTATTTAGTACCGTTCTAGTGACCGTAACAGCCCGCCCAGTTCACCGCCGTAACCCCTCCAGGCCGCGTCAGAACGGGGTGATTCCATTCAGTTGCCCAATTTTCATGTCTAAGACAGTGTAGGGTCTGTCCTTGGCCTTGATAGTTGGCATCGGATTAGCTCAATGAGAGACCAGCATCATGCGGCCAAGTGACCACACAGTGGCCCCGATTGTCAGTTAGAGGCAGAGGAATTGAAAGGATATTGATACTTACGGCGTATATAAATGCACAATGACCAGGCAATGGGCGGGTGCAGGCCCGGCAGCGATAGTAACTGTCCGCAACGGAGGCCAGGGCTGTCCCGCCCACCTCTGGAGGCACGGGCGGCACAGTATTGGCAACAGTACCGTACCGATCTTGCCCCACTGCCGTTGCCGTCATCGGGGTGCGACTGATGACGGTGATGACTGCAGGATTTCACAGCTGTCGATGACAAATCCCGCCCTCGGAGAAGCTCTTCCGCCCCTGCAAAGTGCAAACTGAGCTTTCCAAGTAGCCGACTGCCGGGACAGCCTCCGTCAGAGGGACAGTGGCTGTTGGCGGGCGTCCAGTCCAGTCGGATGTTCTCACTCGCCCCGAACAGGGTGTGCTCTTCCAGAAGCTGACGTGCAGCTCGCCAAATCGCTTCGTCGCTGTCCGTGCCGGTGCGGCGTCGGGCGAACTGGCCGGCGTGGGAGGCGGCCGAGCGCCAGCGCCTATCGGTCCATCGGCCGGCCGCACTCGGTCAGGCGAGGCCGACCTTTGGTGGCGAGGAGCCGCCGGGGTCGGCCGACAGGGCCACACCGTGCCCGCCGGCTGCTGCAGACGCAGTGGGCCTCTGCTAAACCAGCCGAGCTAGGAGGGAATCGACAGGGTACAGAGCAATTGATCCAGTCAGTGGTAGCACCAGACATCGGGTGAAATGGTTCTGTCAGTGAGATCACCGTGGAGTGCCGCCCACTGTTTTGGCGAGCATCCCAGAATAAGCCTTCCGCGAACGCCTGACCGCGTAGGACTAACTCGTAGCCTCCGTGAATGGCTGGCCACCGACAAACCCAACAGCGGCACTTACAAACGGCATGGGTCCGGCTGCAATGTCTCGACACAAAAGGTTTGGCCCCTGGCCCCGCTGCAATGTCTGGGCAGCTGGTCGGGCGTACGATAGAGCTCGCTCGCCTTATCCGGACAGGGTGGTTACCAAAAGTTGTCCGATCTGGTGGGAGGACAGCTAGACGGGCGGAGCTGCGGCAGCCCTCCCACAGCTCCGCCATTCGCAGAGAGACGGCTGCCGCCGCAGTGCTGTCGGTGGGCACAGAACTAGGTCCCTGAACCGGGCCAGGCCGACACAGAAGGGCGACGCTGCAGTGTGTCGATGTTAGCAGGGACAGTGTCACCGGAAGGACAACGCTGAACCGAGCGCTACTCTTTAAACACCGTTACACCTGCATTTGAATAGTCACTCCACTGAAACCTTGGATGGTGGCTGACCTGGTAAACCGGGCTTTGTAACACCAGGACATAGTACAATGTTGACATTATAAACATACCCATTGACGATGACAGAGCATTGATAAAATCGGTATTCCATCGACAACGACATAACACTCATCTATCGTCGCCTTTTATAGGTATCAGACGTGTCTCTGTGTCCATTTGCCTGTGTCACGCTCTGTCGTCATTCCAACCAGCTGTTCGCTACTGCGCTACTGTTACTGTGCCAGTGTCAGCTGGGCGGTGCAATTCTGTGGTCTGACATCACAGCCCGGCCCGCCCCGAACTCTACATTTAAGACCGGCTCCCGGCCCATATGAGGCGCTCGTGCAGCCCGCTGATGGAACCGGTTACCTTGGCTGACGGCCGCCGCCGGCCGCTGCAAATTGGTGGCCACGACTGACGTCTCGATGACCAGTCCTATAAGTCCTTCTCAGTTGTATTCAAGTGTGCCGTGGTTAATAATTACTTCAAAGCTAATTAATATACTAGAGATACAAAACATGTCTTCAGAAGGTAACGACATTTCAATTTATAAGTGCTTATAAATTTGTTCCAAACGATAAGACTCACATTCCGGTAAGAAGGCTCGAAGTCATTCATCTTCTCTCATGACTGTCACGGCCTTATGTTTGATATATGTGATAACTGTATTTTAATAGCACGATTTTAAAGTGGGGATATTAAACAACTTGCTGTGCGCTTTGCTTTTTAACATATTCTTGTAACTTACCAATCTATCGGCAATGTTTTGTCATTTTGAGAATGGATGGCATGAATCCATTGATCGTGGCTATGTGCGCCTTCCGAAACACGCATGTAAATCGCATATCGTAAATGCTCGCAGGTTTTCAGAAGCGACGTCCTTCATATTGCCATGGAAGCTTCACCGTCCATACAAAATAAAATGGCGCACAGCTACGCGCCTGACATGCGCCCGACTTGCGGTGATATGGTGACCGTACAAAATAAAAATGGCGCACAGCAGCGCGCCTGACATGCGTTATTTCCTGATACCGATCAGTGGCCGGACAGGGTCCGCGGGACTCCTGTGGTATGCGGCAGTGTCTTTGCCCTCGGATTCTCGTTCAGCGGGCGCAGCTGTCGTCTGTAAGTCTCGTTAATCACCGAGTGGATGTGCTGGTGGTCCACCAGCCGTCACGGCTCGGTCACTGCCTGAGGAACTCCGCTATTGCCCTGGCACTGTCCGCTAGGCTGACAGATGTTGGGTGCTGGCTATAGGGCGTCACGGCGCCGGTCACCCGCGACCTTACGGCTTATCTCGGGACGCTCGTTATGGTCCTACCGTGCCCTGTGACCGAGCATCTTTTCCATCTTATCATGCAGTGGCGGCGGAATACCTTCAATTAAGGGGGGAGGGGAGGGGGCACTGCCGACTTTTGTTCCCGTTCTTTCCATGCAACGCCCATAGGACTAATGTTAAAATGCCAAAATCAAAGGGGGGCACGGTGCCCCGGTGCCACCCTCGTTCCGCCGCATATGCTCTTTTACTGTCCTAACTTACCGTCTTCCGGGCCCTCCCGGAACGCTCCTCAGTCCTCACCATCTTACCAAGCTTGGAGACTACCCTGCCCTTTGTCAGACTCCCCGTTTCTTCCCTCCAATCCTAACGCAACTCTGACATCGAGACTCATTAACCCATGGTCTCACAACCCTTAACCCCATGACATCTTCTTCTCAAGCAACTATTTTTTACCGTAACGCCACTGTAACTTCTATGATATAGCGTGGTTGTTGATAGCCATCAGATGTCATTACGGTGCATCGAAACGTATAATGCTTAGCATTGCTACGAAACCCTTTTTCTGTGCGAAGTGTAGGCATTGCTTTCGAAGCATAGCTGAGATCCCTATATAACCCCCCCCCCCAAACTTGACGCCACAAAACATGAGAATAGCGAGTTGACAACTGAAGGTTCTAGAGGTAACTATCATGCATAGTGCATACTGCATGCTAAGTTTTGCTGAGGGCTGGGCTAGTGCTGGTTTTGTCAAACCGCATTCATTGCCGGACTGTTCACATGCCCAATGTTGAATTACACAGGCTGTGTCGCAATCGGTTCGTTCGGCCTTCGGTGACGTTTTGTGTCAAATCGACTCCGTCCAGTGACAGCCTGTGTCAGATCCGCCGTATCCAATGACGGTACAGCCGACAGGTCATGTCGAACCCTTTCCATCCGATGACGGATTATGTCGTACCTGCCCCGTCTGGCGACCGGTCGCTCTCTCAACCAGCACCGCTGCTGGCCGGCCGGAGGAGCAGCCTGCTCCACTCCGTCGTCACGTCGGTCGGGCGGAACGGCGCCACCAGGCGGTCACTTCCGGCCCCGGCGCAGTCGTCCGTCGCTCATCACCTCAGAGGGAGGGCCGGGATGGCGCTGAACGACCCGACAGGTGCGGATGGACCAGGGCGGAGGGCGGTGAACGGTGCGAGCAGTGAGCCGCACCGACAGTTGCCGCTCGGATAGACTTGAGACGTGATCTGACCGGTCCGATATCCGATCACGTTGGCCGCGGCTGCAGGACTGACTGATGGGTTTCATTTACACTGGACTTCGGCTGGTGGAACAATATCAGTTTCAGGGATCGTCCGTTTCACATTGCTAGCTCCGCCCTTCCGTTGAGCAATACGGTA